TGGGCTGGGTGCCCACCGAGCACCCCTGGGTGCATGGGTCCTGCTCTGCAGAGATGGGCGCCCTCGGACCCCGGTGGGGGTGAGCAGAGGGTGGGAAGGGGAATGGGTTATGGGCAGAAACAGCCTTGAATGCATGGATGCGTTTTTACCCAGAGCACAGCAGCCACCCCCATCTGTTCAAAGGGAGAGCGAGGAGGAGAGGAAACCCCTGGGGTGACCCCCAAAGCGTTTTTGGGGGTCCCAAGGTTGGTTTCTTTCCCCTCAAGCTCGCTGAAGGCTGATGGAGGGCACTGTGTGGAGCGTGCCCCTCCCTGGCTCGCAGGGCTATACCCACAACCCAACCACCGCCCCGTGGTACCCACACCAGGGCTCCCCACGGCATGGGCATCCCCACACGCCCCAAACCCAGCCCCGGGCGCGCTGTGGGTCTCCGCCTGCCCCACGGGCACCCGGCTGTCACCCCACAAGGGAGAAGCGGCATCGAGGATGGCACTGGGGCTGCACCCCTATAAATACGGGGACCCCACTCCAGAGCCCGAGGCTCCCGGGGGTTGCCACAGCGTGGGGGTCCCCGGCTCCACCGCCCCATGGCCCGTAGAGCCCCGGGACCCACAGGGCACAGACCCTGCCCGCCCCGTTTCCCTCCCGGGCCGCCTCCCGGTGCGCCCCAAAACCAGGGCCGGACACGGGTGGGAAGCGGCGGCGCCCACGGGGACCCCCGGGGCCTCGGCACGGCCCCAGGGCACAGCCGGGGCCCCCCCTCCCCGCCCGGGCACACCCAGACCCCGATCCCCCTCCTGCTCCCCCGGTAAAGCCTCGCTGGGGGGGGGGGGGGGGGGGGCGCGGGACCCTCCCGGTTCCCCCGGGGAGCGCCGCGGCCCAACCGCGCCTCCCGCATGGGCCGGGGCCGGGGTCCCCGCAGCTGCCGGGGCTGAGGAGCGGGGCTCAGAGCCCGCACCCGCACCGCGTCCCGCGGGCACCGGACAGGGCCGGGGGTACCGGACCCTCCCCTCCCGTTCGCCGGTGCGGTCGGGGCCGCCCCGCCCTGCGGGGCCCTTGGCGGGCGGCACTCACCCGTGTAGTGAACCACGCAGGTCTGGCCGCGCTTGGGGAACGTCCGCCCTGCGGGGAGACACGCACGGTCAGCGCACCGGGACCGGGACCCGCACCGGGACCGGAGCGGCGGGGAAAGGGGGAAAGGAGAAGGGGGAAAGGGGGTGCATGGGGAGGGTGGGCGCGGGTCGCGGCTCACCGTCGCCGGGGGCGATGGTCTCCACATGCACGCCCATGCCGGTGCCGGTGCCGCTCCCGCACCCTCAGCTCCCGCAGCCCGAGGGAGGAGGGGCCACGTGTGCGCAGCCTCGGCCCCGCGCCGCCATAGAGCCCGCCCCCGCCCGCCGCCATCTTCCCGCTCCCCCCCCCCGCCATCCCTCAGCCTCCTTCCTGCCCGGCCCCGGCCGCCATCTTGGCACCGCGCGGTTGCCGGGGCAACGCGGCCCTGCCGTGAGGGACCCCGGGACCACCGGGGTTACCGGTTAAAGCGGCTCCTCCCCCCCGTGAGGGGGCTGAGGCGCTGGCACAGGGTGCCCAGAGAAGCTGTGGCTGCCCCATCCCTGGCAGTGTTCAAGGCCAGGTTGGACACAGGGGCTTGGAGCAAGCTGCTCCAGTGGAAGGGGTCCCTGCCTGTGGCAGGGGTTGGAGCTGGAGGAGCTTTAAGGTCCCTTCCAACCCAACCCATTCCATGGTTCCGTGTCCTTCCCAAGCTGTCCTGAACCGCGGAAATCATCTCTTGACGCGCTGCTATAGTCAGTGTGTGAAACAACGGCCGTGAATTGGGTTAGTTCAGGTGTCAGCCTCAGGCTGTGCCAGGGAACGCTTAGACTGGATATGAGGAACGTTCCTGCCCCAAACTGGTGCTCAGGTGTTGGTGTTGGAACAGGCACTGGAACAGGCACTGCAATGGGCATTAGAAAAGGAACTGGAACGGGCACTGCAATGGGCTTTAGAAGAGGCACTGGAACGGGCACTGGAACAGGCACTGCAATGGGCATTAGAAGAGGCACTGGAATGGACACTGGAATGGGCACTGCAATGGGCTTTAGAAGAGGAACTGGAATGGACACTGCAATGGGCACTACAATGGGCATTAGAAGCACTGCAATGGGCACTACAATGGGCTGCCCAGGCAGTGCTGGCGTCACCGTCCCTAGAGGGATACAAAGGACGTGCGGATGTGCCCAGCGCCATGGGTCAGTGGTGCCCTTGGCAGCGCTGGGTTAACAATTGCCCTCCATGAGCTTCAAGGTCTTTCCCAAGCTAAACCATTCCATGTTCTACATTGATGCTGCTCCTCAGCACGTAGGCAAAGGTCAGCACCGGCCCCACGGCCCCGGGCAGGCTCAGTGGGTCCAATCAACCCTCCAAAAGGACTCTCTGCTAGTGACAGCGGCAGCTCTTTTCTTCCCTGCTCCAGTAAAGACCTGCTCCAGGCACAGGATTTGTGCCTCAAAGCGTCCCATTTCCTCCCTTCAAGAGCTGAACTGCAGCACCCGCAAGGGAGCAGAGACCTTCCAAGGACAGCCAAGAGGCTCGTGAAAAGCTGCTGTAAAGTGGGGCACGAGGGGAGGAGACTTGAAATAGCACCTGAAGGGATGGAGCGGGTTTTAATGGCTTCTGCCCTTTGCTCGTATCTTTTAGATGCTGAAACACCAAGGATGCCTTCCCTTGCTTGATGCTGGAGCATCACGCAGATGGGGCCCGTGGTCCCTGACTTTGCATGGAGCAGAGGAGGGCAATGGAGCTGGTGCAGGGCCTGGAGCACAAACGTGATGGGGAAGGGCTGAGGGACCTGGGAGGGTTTAATCTGGAGAAGAGAAGGCTCAGGGGGGACCTGATGGCTCCCTACAGTGCCTGACAGGAGCATGGAGCAGGAGGGGCTGGGCTCTGCTCCCAAGGGATGGGACAAGAGGAAACGGCCTCAAGCTGCCCCAGGGCAGGTTTAGATGGAGCTGAGGAACAATTCCTGCCCCAGAGGTGCTCAGGCATTGGAACAGGCTGCCCAGGGCAGGGCTGCAGGCACCAGCCCCGATGGTATTAAAGAGACGTGGATGTGGCACTTGGGGCCATGGGTCAGTGGTGGCCTTGGCAGGGCTGGGTTAACAGTTGGACTGGAGGAGCGTAAAGGTCTTTTCCACCCCAGACAATCCCGTGGTTCTGCAATCTGTGCTCTCTGCAGGATTTTATACTCAACAATCAGAACGTTTCCTCAATGCTCAGAGGCGTTTGCTTGCTTGTGAATCGAAGAGCACCGAGGCTGAAAGCACGGCGGTGGCAGTGGGCAGAGCCTCCCAATGCCTCAGCATGGGCTGAGTCAGGCGATGCCACAGAGCACCCTGCGCCCACCAGAAACCAAGACAACAGCAGGAGGAAAAACAAGGGGGGAGAAACCAGACCGGAGGCTCTTTGTGTGCCTGAGAAACGGCTCTGACCCGGAGCGGCTGCGGGGGCCCTGACGCGGCTCTAAAGCATCTCCCCCGCTGATCCAAAGTTGTGCTGCAGGGCCCGAGGCTTCCCGTGACCTCCGTGCACGACTGGGGCTGCTTTGCTTGGGATGGTGGCGGTGGGCACGGGGCTGGGAGCCGCAGGGGCAGCCCACGGGCACACACAGCCCCAGCCCTAAAAATAACCACGCTCCCGCTCCGCCTCGGCTCCCAGCTGACAGCTACGGGGTGGTGGATGCGCCTCTTCCCCCTGCTGCCTCCTCCCTGTTGCCAGGAGAGATGTGGGGGTGCCGAGCAGCGCTTGCGAGAGGCTGCTGGGGGAGATCAGCTCCGGGCTGCGATGCGAAACCAGCTTCAATCCCAGCCTGGTTTGGGTTGGAAGGGGCCTTAAAGCTCCTCCAGCTCCATGCAGGGACCCCTTCCACTGGAGCAGCTTGCTGCAAGCCCCTGTGTCCAACCTGGCCTTGAACACTGCCAGGGATGGGGCAGCCACAGCTTCTCTGGGCACCCTGTGCCAGCGCCTCAGCACCCTCACAGGGAAGAGCTTCTGCCTAAGAGCTCATCTCAGTCTCCCCTCTGGCAGGTTCAAGCCATTCCCCTTGGCCTGCCCCACATGAGTGACGTTCATTTGACATTTGTGCCATAAGCTCCCAAGCTGCAGAAAGCAGGAGAAGCTGCCACAATCCTGCCCAGCTGCATGACCGGGGCAGTGCAGCCCATTCCTGCTGGGAAGCTCCCAGTTTCCCAGAGGTGATTCAGGTAACCCAGCACAGGCAGATGGACAGAGCTGGTTTCCAACACCCTCCTGCCGGGCACCATGGTTCAGCACATGCTTTAAACCACTGCTGGCTTGAGCTTCACCCTTGGTCAAAGAAATTCTCCCCCTTTCCCTGTGAAAGGGCAGCCTAAGCACAAGGATCGTGCTGCATTGGCTGTATTTTCCCTAAAATCTGGTCAAAAAGAGCTTCCTTTTGCAAACAACCGCAGTGCTCTTGGTGTGTGCTTTCCACAGCTGAAGTGACACCTCTGCCCCCCCAGTGCCCTTCCTGCTGGCACTGCAGCCTGTCCCAGGAGGTCACCATGGATCTGCCTTGCCCAGGTCTGTCAGGACCTGCTGAAAGAGCAGCGAGGCCAAGCCCTGGAGCAAGCAGCCCCGGTGAGGTGTCAGAGCTCGCTGTATGTGTGCAGCGGGACAGGAAGGGGGGCAGGATGCAGAGCAGGCCTTTGGGACAGGGAACAGGAAACAACAGGAAGCGATGGCTTTCCCTGAGAGCAGCACATCCTGAGAGTGCAGCAGCTCCGCGTCCATCCCGGTGAGCTCAGCCGCTGCCAGCCAGGGCTTATTCGGGTTGTACCTGGTGTCTGTGAACAGCAGCACACATGAAAGCTGGTCTGAGCCTCCAGAGGACCCCAAAACCCATTGGGAAGTGCACCCCTTGAGGGGATCGTAGCTCAGACATGGGGAGCTGCACTCCCCTATAAAACATTGCATGTTGGGCTAGGACCAAGGCTTCCGGGAGCTCAAATTTACCCCATTGCCTCCATCTCCATTCTCATCTCCTTCCTCCTCTCCTCACCAATGGGATGGAGGTAGAAGACAAATATGGCAATGAGCAGCAGGCTTATTGGAACTGGAGCCATGAGAAGCTGCAGGGTGAGGACCACAGAGGGGTTGGATGTGCAGTCTCCAGCATGGTAACCTGCAAAACTAGAGGAGAATGGTTTTCCTTCCCCCAGCCCCATCAGGCCATCACAGAGGGCAAGCAGGCACTTCTGCTGCTCTCCTCTAGAAACTGGTCTTGGGGGCTCAGGTTTTGGGGGGGTTCTGCTTTTCTTGCTCCAACAGATGTTGGAAAGACAAATTTGGATTCCCCTGTGGCTGATTCCAGCACCTCCTCTCAACACTCTAGAGAACAGCAGTGGAAGCTGCCTGTGCTGGGCTGACACAAGGAGGGAGGTGGTGCTCATGGGGGGCTTACTGTAAGCTCAGTGTGGATATCCCCACGGCAAGGCCCCCAGCAAGCTTGTTGAAGAAGACATAAAAGGAGTAGAAGAGAGCCTCCAGGTTGAGGCAGCCGGGGTTCCTCAGCATGAAGTCATCTACTGCATCCGGCAGCATGGACCTGGGGGCACACAGCCCCAGGGACATGTCAGTGGCACCCACCCAGCTGAACACAGACGTAGCTGCTCCCAGCAGCAGAGAGAGACAGAATGCTTCAGAAAAAGAGAATTAAAAGAGTGCCCTGCACATGCTGCTGCCAAACCTGAGCACAGACTGAAGGATGCTGCTGGAGGACCATGGATCCCATCCGTGTCCCTTCCCAGTCCCATCTCCACACGTCCCTCAAGCTGCTGCACCGAGCAAACAGGCAGCCTTGGCACATCGAGGGTGCTGATCTCCCTAAATCCTTCCCCTCTGCTCTGCCTGGCAGGAGGCTCGGAGGTGCCTGCACTCACCATGGCAAAAGGTAGAGCACAGCCATGCTGCAGCCTGCCACCATCACCGGGAAGATGAAGGCCGGGAAGTTGTGCATCACTTGGGTGACAGCTACCAGGGCTGGGATGATGAGCTGTGCAAAGGGGGAAAGGGAAGACCAAAGCACATGGACCCTTCCTGCTGCTCACAGCAGCCTGCACCCATCTGCCCAGCCAGAGCCATGACCAGACACCATAGCCAGACGTGGCTCTGCTCCCAGACACCATGGTTAGCTGAGGACAAGGCTGTCCCCTCCCAGGGCTTCTCAATCCAAGGCCGTGGGCAAACTCACTGCCAGGCCCAGGGAGGCTGCTGTTTTCTTTCCAAATCTCCCCAAAAACCATTGCCAGAAGGGAATGGAGAGGGAAGCTGTGACCTGAGGAGAGAACCAGAGGGGAGGCTCAGCAATGGGTGATGTCCTTGCTGGTGGACAGAAACAGCAGCACATCACTCCAGGAGGCTGAGGTGACCCAGGGCTCAGCCCCTCCATCAGGAAGGTCTGCCTGGGCTCACTTACCAACATGATAAGCACTAAATGCTGGAACTTCCCGGCCAGCCCCGCAGCATGGGTACAGAAGAAGGCAAAGATCCCTTGTGTGATCTGGGAAAGCAACATGGGGATGTTCATGGCTGGGGTCCTCAGTTCGCCGTCTGGATAAACTCGCCTGGACACCTCATTCCCCACATTCTCTTCCTACCGTGGCAGCAGGTCTCTCACCTGGAAAGCCAGGGATGCGAAGAGGAAGGCACAGAGCAGCTGGGTGTAGGGCTTGTGTCCCACCATCATCCTCAGGCAGCTGGCAAAGGGCAGCTCAACCTTCCCCAGGGGCCTGAGGGGCCCTGAGAGGAGACAGCACTGGAGAAGAACCACAGCACAGGGGGGCACGGGGGGGGGGGGGTGCACCGCTGTGTCTGGGGTGCAGCTCCACTGCCTCAGTACAGACACAACAGCATCCTCTGCAGCCCCATCCTCACCATCATCCAGCTGCCGCTGGGCACTCTCCAGACTGCATCTAAATGGACCTTACCTGGCTGCTCCTTGACACCGAAGATGAGAACCAGACAGGAAAGGCAATAGACTGAGCCCAGGACCAGGGATGCAAAGAAATAGGCTCTACGCTGGAAAATGAGAGACAGTGCACAGTGACAGTCAGACTGGTTTGTGCTGAAGGGACCTTAAAGCTCCTCCAGCTCCAACCCCTGCCACGGGCAGGGACCCCTTCCACTGGAGCAGCTTGATCCAAGCCCCTGTGTCCAACCTGGCCTTGAGCACTGCCAGGTATGGGTACGGTGTGGAGCAGAAGGGTGGCTGTGCCAAGCCAGCCCATACCGTGTTGTCCAGGGAGCCGGTGAGGCCGGAGGTGCTGGTATTGGACACGGTTTCATTCGACATGGAACAGCCGTTCATGCGGGCATGGTAACTACCCACCATCTGCCCCTGGATTCCTGACCCGAGCAGAGTGCTGAACACCTCCATCCCCATTCCTGCCAGGACAGCCAGAGAGAAACCTCAGCCCACTCCCTGGCTGCTGGGACACAGCCCTAAGGTAAAGGACTGGCTTTGGGAACAGAACCAGAGGCACCACCGTCCAGAGCTTCCCCAGAAGCAGAGACCTGCTGTTTCTACCTGCTCTTTTTTTTCCCCCCTTTCTCCAGCAGTCAATGCTTTAATGTTTGGAACCAATAAATCTGGCTCCTGACTCCCTCGGGGATGATACAGAGCTAAGAAATGCTTCTGCAGCTAAATTCTTAGCAGAAGATGACTGGTTTCATCCCTGGTTTCACCTCCTGGTTTACCCCAGCCACTCTGCAGCCTGTTCCAAGCCAAAGGACCTCATTCCTCCCTCCTCCAGGGAGGTTCTCCCAGGAATGCAGGCAGACAGGGGCTCAGGGCACAGACACTTACTGTAGGCAGTGGCTGAGTCACGGTCTCCCTGGGTTCCTCCCAGGAACATTGTGAGGGAAGAGTACGGCACATGGTAGCACTGGGGAGAGCAGAGTTCAGACACAGCCCCAGCTGCTGCTTCCCTGGTTTGCTGCTCATCACCCCCCTCATCCCTACACACAGCAGATGATGCTGCCTTCAGTGGCACCCTCTTCTGTGATCCGCTCTGTTCCCACAAAGCAGTGATGGAGAAGATCACATCACCATGCACAGGCAGCCCAACTGCAACCCCAGCATTCAAATGCACCCACTGTTCCATCTCCCCATCCCTGCTGGCATGGTCTGCACCATCCTGCTTCCCCCATCTACTGCTCTTCTCTGGGTCCTTCCTGGGACCCCCCCATCCGAGCGTGGCCCCATCCCCTGCAGTACAGGCTGTTGTGTGAGGCAGCCAGCCCCAGGCACCATGTTCCTTACAGTCATGCAGGTCTGGAAGAAGCTGTACATGAACAGGTACCACAGGAATTTCAGGGCGGCGGGGGTGGCATCCGGGAGGCTGGACCACATCATGCAGTAGCAGAGCACCCCGAAGGGCATGGAGCATGCGATCCTGTGGAGGCATGGAGCTGCTCAGATGGGACCCTCACACACGGTGGTCGCACTTCTCCTTGCACAAGCTGAGCTACGTAGCACAGCCTCTTTCCCAGCTTCCGAACCGGAGCCCAGCTACTGTGAGATCAGAGTACATGAGAGGAGGCAGCTCTGCTCAGGTGAGTGCCCATCGCAGTGAAAAAGTAATGCTCCAACATCTCTTCCTTAACCACTTCAAGCCCTTGCCCTGCAGCAGAACTGGGGGGGCAGAAGGAACCCTCCATGTGGAAGATCTGCCTGTGGTTAGAGCTGCTGGCACAGCAAACTGCCACCACACAGGGCTCTCAGAGCACCAAAGCCTTGAGAACATGAGGTCCCGGAGTGACTGACAGCAAGCAGACAGGTTTGCAGTACATCCCTCCTGTTTCACTGCAATGACATATGGACCCCACTGCGAGTTGTGTCATCTTTTGTGTCCTTGCAACGTTAAGGTTTGGAATTCTCCAGAAGCCACAATCACACTGAACTCCCAGTGAAGCATCCCAGTGTCTCCTGGTGCTAGTACTCAATAAGCCCAGCAAAGACCCTCCAGAAGCTCCAGCCCCGACACCCACCATGGCACCAGCTTGCCGTATTTTGTCCTCGGGCTCTTGCTGACCAGGAAGCCAATAGCTGGGTCAGTAACTGCATCCCAGGCTCTTCCAAGGAAAAGGATCAAAGAGGCATGGAACGGCTCCAGCTGAAGGGGAAACAGAAACCACAGCACGAAAGGGAAGGAAGTCCTGCTGAAAAGCTGCGAGCAGTGAGCCCGAGGCAGCTCCCTCGAGCCAAGGTTTCATCTGCATCCCCTGGAGACCACTCCAGGCACTGAAGTGGCCCAGAAACATCTCCTGCACCCCCACCAGTATTTGCATGATGTGATTTTGATGCAGTTTGAACAGCTAATTCTAATGAGCATTTCCAAGGGGTTTTAGCCACCCACCGAACCCTGCCCTTGCCCCATTGTGCTGAGCTTATGCTAAGCCCCTTTTGCAGATAACCCCGTCTCAAGCGGCCACTCACCTGCACGACATCCAGCAGGAAGATCTGGAGGAAAAACCCCAGGGCATTGCCCGTCATCTGGTAGGGAATGCCCCCAACAGCATAGCAAACCTTCCTGCAGAGCGGCAGCCCCGGCTCCTCCTGCAGCCAGAGGGAACAAGCCCACCTAAGAAGCAATGCACACCTCGGGCTGACAGCAAGCCCCCAGCTTACCCCACCCTCAGGGCTCTCCGAGGCCCATTTAACCCCCAGTTGACACCCACAAGCCGGGTGCTGATGGTAGCTGGGGTGCTGTGATGTGCTTCCCTGTCTGCTGGTGACCTTAGTGCATCAGGCCATGGTGTTTCCTACCCGTGACCTGGCTCCTGGGGTCCTGCTCAATGCATTTGCTGTTCTTCATAAGCCTTCAAGGGTATGAGCTCGGGGGTTACGAGCATGCTGCCAGCCTCTATGGGGCAAGCTGGTCTAGGGGAAGGTGTCCCTGCTTCCGCACAAGCTGAGACCGGATGGATCAGCTGCTCTCTCTGAGGTCTCATCCTGCAGTAGCCTCCTGTTCCTGTGCAACACAGAGGTGCATCACTGCTGACAGCAAGATGGCTTTGGGGTGGGAGGAAGGCAGGGCTGCAGGTAGCCTCTGGGAACTTGCCAGCTCCTTGAGGCTCGGTTGGGTATTTACTGCAGGTAAGCACATCCAAATTAAACAGAGGCTTTGCCATCAGCCCTCTTCCTGCATGCTGAAATGTTCCTTGTGCCTTCCCCGTTATCTATAGAAATCCCTGGGCGCTGGCCTTTGCAGCCTCTCCTCCGACTGCCCCCGTTACAGTTGCTTGAAGTCTGATGCAGTTTGGACTTTTTAATGTGACAGAAATAGAAGCACTGGACGGAGGCTGGACAGAATAAGGACAGACAGTGTTGGACCAGCTCAGCAGAGAGCACCGCGGCTGGCATTACATATGGATCTCGTTTGTTAGCAGCCTGTGATGACAGAATCCCAGCCTGGTTTGCATTGAAGGGACCTTAAAGCTCCTCCAGCTCCAACTCCTGCCATGGGCAGGGACCCCTTCCACTGCAGCAGCTTGCTCCAAGCCCCTGTGTCCAACCTGGCCTTGAGCACTGCCAGGGATGGGGCAGCCACAGCTTCTCTGGGCGCCCTGCCTGTTTGGCTGTGCCACCGAGAGCTCCAAGAGCCACCCTTGAGGGGTGAGAGACCTTCATTGTGGTGCTTAGGGAACAGCTTCTGAAAGGACAGGCTCAATCCCCCGAAAAGCAGCATTCCAGAAGGCTCTGAGTGCATTTCCCTCACGTAACCATTAGCAATAACTCCTCCGCAGCCCATGGATAAAGCACTGACGCTGCTGTGCCCACCAGGCCCAATGTCCCCAGCACACCCAGGGAGCAGAGCTCCTGCTTCCCCTGTGCTGGGTAACCTCAGCCTGCTCGAGCCTCCCAACTCCTGCCTCCGCTTTCCTCCCTGCCCTTTCCAGCACAGGTCCCCCCTGCGCTCCAAATTGCAGAGCAGGCTGGTCCCGCGGGGCTGGCAGGAGCCTTGGGCTCTCAGCACCACCGCGGAGCGTTGACTCATCCCCCAAGAGCTCGTTTCCACAGCAATGCTGCTTCTAAAATGACAAAAGCCCTTCCTGTGGGCTCGAAGGTTTTGAGGGCAGCTCTGGGTGCCGTGCTGCTCGCAGCAGGTAGGATGGAGCCGGGCACGGCTCTGCCCATCCCGCCTGGGAGGCAGCAACAACAGAACGGGGAGCTCTGCTCCAACAATGGCATCTGGAGCCTGAGTCAGAAACACTTGACAACACCCACAGCCCGCGGCTGCTGCGCCAGGCGGGCTCGGCGTGGGTGTGAGCACGTGTGCCAGCGCTGCTGCATGTGAGGAGCCAGCACCCTGGACACTGAGCTTAGAATCAGAATGGGTTGGGGTGGAAGGGACCTTAAAGCTCCTCCAGCTCCAACCCCTGCCACGGGCAGGGACCCCTTCCACTGGAGCAGCTTGCTCCAAGCCCCTGTGTCCAACCTGGCCTTGAGCACTGCCAGGGATGGGGCAGCCACAGCTTCTCTGGGCACCCTGTGCCAGCGCCTCAGCACCCTCACAGAGAAGAGCTTCTGCCTTATCTCCAACCTGAACTCCCCCTGTTTGTCTGAACCCATCACCCCTTGTCCTGTTGCTACAGTCCCTGATGAAGAGCCACTCTCCAGCATCCTTGGAGCCCCCTTCAGACACTGCTCTGAGGTCTCCACGCAGCTTCCAGCCCCAGCACTCTCAGCCTGTCATGGCTTTTATCCTAAGGGCTTCTACAGGTGTCTTACCTCCCTGCAGACCTCTCTGTTCTGTTGGAGAGCTCCTCCTTGGCTGGACCTGTGCATCTCAGCATCTTCGGGACCAGCTGGAAGCATGACTGCAGGGATGAGTGCCCTGCAGCGACATGCGCCAGGGATGCGGAAACTTCCTGGCCCAGGGAGAGGAAGTATTGGCCTCGGACGTCAAAGAGCACATGACAAGCACAGAGTGGAACTGGATAGAGACCTGACAAGTGAAACACATCATCTGCAGGGCCCCAGGGGAAGCGAGCGGCCTTGAAGGAGGAGCATGGCCAGAGCCTGCCCATGGGGGCAGGAAGCCTGGCAGGGCTCACAGGGGACCATGTACTCGGCTCTCAGGAGCTGTGCCAGCACCTCAGCACCCTCACAGGGAAGAGCTTCTGCCTAAGAGCTCAACTCAGTCTCCCCTCGGGCAGGTTAAAGCCATTCCCCTTGGCCTGTCCCTACATCCCTTGTCCCAAGCCCCTCTCCGGGTTTCCTGCAGCCCCTTTAGGCACTGGAGCTGCTCTCAGGTCTCCCCTTCAGGAGCCTTCTCTTCTCCAGGCTGACCCAGCCCAGCTCTCTCAGCTTGGCTCCAGAGCAGAGCTGCTCCTGTCCTCTTTCCTTTCTCTATTAAGCAAGACCTGCAGTTATCAACCTCTTTCAGCCTGCGATCTCCTGAGCGCTCCCCCATGACAATGCAGACCCCCCACAAAAACGTGCTTTTCTCTGTCCCCCTTCACAGCCCCAGAGCCCAGCATCTCGGCATCACAAACCCAAACCTCCCCTGCATTAAGAGCAGTGGGAGCCCAGCTCCTGGGAGCAGCTGAGTTCCCAAGGCTCTGGTGCTCCTCACACACAGCACATCACCACAGAGGCAGAGCCAGGGCAGAGCAACCCAGGCAAAGCCCCCTCCCTGCTCTCCCCCACATTACCAAGAGCCACTGGGAGGGTTAAATCCACGTTGGTGTCCCTGTATCACCACCCATAAGGGAACTCAAGCACCTGTCTCCAGGGCTCATCCCCATGCTGTTAGGTTGTCTTCAGCTCAGCCTGACCCAGTGGGGGTTAATCTCAAACCCCTCAGTCTCCCAGGCTGAGTCAGAACTCGGTTCCTAAGCCCCAGCAGGACTGAGTCAGCGGCATCTCTCCTCACTGCTGTTCTGCTGACATCCCAGATAACAAATATCACTCACGCTGGACCACAGCCAGCGCAGGGGCAGCCAAATCCCTGTCTCCCACCGGCGTATCTAAGCATACGTCTCTATCAGAAAGCTCACCACTTCTCTCCCCACCCCAGAGGAAAGGGAAAACTCAAGAGGAAACAGAAAAACCTGATTTTTAGGTTTTTTTTTTCCTAGGCCGTTCTGTAACGTGGGTGGTTGGGTACCACTGGAGATGGTACTCAGCAGTTAATCCTCTGCTTGCCATTGTTTACTCTCCAGGTGCTCATAGGTGCAGGAAGCCAAGAGAGGCCCCTCCGTTGCCCCCCAGAGCAGCTCTGCAGCCCTCACTCCCTGCCTACTGCAGCGCTCAATTCTCCTCCTCACAGGGAAGCTCTATTCCTGCTCACGTTGAAAAACCAAACCCGACCACAAAACCAAGTCTAAAGGCAGCGAATGGGACTTTCTGGCACGGGAGCAAGCGGCAGCAGTTGGATACCTTCCACTGGCAAACCCTTTACCACCACTCTTTGCTCCAGCAGTTCTCGTGTTCCCCTGAGCACAGCTGCTTCCGCTGGGTGGAACGGGAGCCACGGCCTCAAGAGCCACCAAGGTGGATGTGGCAGAAGAGCTGCTGCTGCTGGAGGCCCCATAAGCCAACGAAGAGTGAATGACATGAGGATCACGAGATGTACCTGAGTAAATAGGAACATCTGTAATCCCTTCAGGACCTGCCAGCACTGGGACGGACAGGAGCAGTGCAGGCAAGACACCCCAGTGAGATAAGCATTTAGGAATGGAGTAAATAAGTCAGAAAATGATGAATTGATAAATCAAGAGGTGCTTGACACAGGAGCTGTTTGGCTGCCAGTGCTCTGAGCCTGCTGCAGCATTAGTGCTACCCTGCTCTCCATAGAAGCATGTAATTGGGAAACGGGGGGCTCGTTTGGAAGAGCTGCTGACAGGTAAGAACTAGAGGGGATTTCTCTTCCTGTTGTGTGGAACTCGGTGGGATCCCCGTGGAGCTCCAGCCCTGCAGCTCACCTGGTCAGCAGCAGCAACACGCACCTTTGGTTCAGACATCGTGTGCTCGTGTCCTTCCCCCATTGGCCACAATTCCTGGTCCCATCCTCCTGCAGCTGCAGGTGCCCTGAGATTCCTTGCTCCCCATCACCTCCAGTCGCTTCCTCCCGTTATCTGTAGCTGAGCTTCCCGAGCTCTGTGCCAGAACATAGCAACCAGCTTTGTGCTTTGTGCTGTCCACGTTGTTTGACCTCAGTGGGCAGCTCAGGCACGGCTACACCTGGAAGTGGATGTTCCTCCACCAGCATCACTGACCATGCATGGAAGAGGGACCAGGAAACACCCCATGGCAAAGGCAGCACCCCAGAGGGGAGGCGAAGTACCCAGGCAATGATGCAGAACGCGATCAGAAAACCCAGGAACTCAACCTTAGCAGCCAGGATGTGGGAAAAGAAGAAAACACCAAAGTGCCCCAAAAGGGAAAGAATCCAAGGAAGTTCTGCAGTCACCATCTGAGGAAGAGGAAATGGGTGAAACCGGAGGAAAGCCCTGGGATGGAGTGGACGCATCAGCCCCAGACAGGACAGCACCCGGTGAAAGTGGCTCCATCTCAACATGCAGATGTTGAACAGGAGCGAGGTTCCACACGAGAGGTGGAGCACCGCTGAGCACCAGCTGTGAGAGGCAGGAAGCTGGGGAGGGAGGGATCAGAGGGAAAGGAACGTCTCAAAGTGAAACCCTTCACCAGGCAGGGCAGGGAAACGACACCTTGTGAGCATAAAGGCCGGTTTTAGAAGAGCCCAACCTGAGCCTGTGACTCTGCTAGAACAAAGAAAAGGGATGACAAAGGGAAGAGCTTTTACTTGCAAGTCAGGAACTCCCCAACCACCACCACAGACTGCAGGAGTGTCAGAAATGAGCATTTACCTTCCTGCAGGGACACGTCAAACACCAAAGAGCTGCATGAGTGATGAAGAAGGGGATGCTCTTCGCAGAACCAAGGTGTCTCCCCAGCCCTTCTCCCTGCTCTGCTGTGTTATCCCAACCCTGTCCATTTGCCTGTCATTTTTGCTTTAAGGCTTATTTCAGGGTGACACATTCCTGCAGCTCACAGAAGGAGACAGTTTAATACAGGAGGTTGCATGTATGTTGCTTCCAGTTCGTTCCACAGCCTCTTTTGTGGAAGATGTGCCTTATCTTGTTCCAGACACCGCTTCAGTGCTCCACTCGGGAATGCTCCCGGGAGCCCAGCGGAGCTGATCCTGTGCACCAGGAGATAAGGACTGCTCATTACTGACAAACATAAAGCCCAAGCAGAGGCTCAGAGGAAGGAGGAGGCGGCAGCGGTGTCACAGAGGGCTCAGACACACAGAGAGAGCAGCACAAGGGGCAGGAGCTCCCAGCTCCTCCGCAGGAGCCTGCAAGGCGCAGAGCGGTGTCTCTGCAGCACTGCCACCCGCCGGCTCGGGAGGAAACGCGACTTTCCTGGCACACAAACGTCTTGAGGCCCAGAGCAACCCGGAATTGATCACCCCGGTGCCGAGGAGAGAGCGGGCAGGAAACCTGGATGTGGAAGTTGCCATCGGTGAGCGGAATCTGCACAACAAACCCCTTGGGGTCGGCAGCTGGAGGAGCTGCTGTCTGGCTACCAGCCCTCGTTTCACTTGCAGGGACCACAAGGACCATGGATGGCAGCTGGTTGTCACCTCAGCCCTCTGATGGCACTGGCTAACCAAGGCAGAAGAGGACACAGATGAAGTCTCTATCTGGGTTCAGGAGCAGATCCTGTCCAGCAGTCTGGAAGAGGTTATCCCAGGTCCCTAAAATGGCACAAGATACAAGAGCAAGGCCAGGTTGGAGGGGGCTGCTCCAGTGGAAGGCATCCCTGTCCGTGGCAGAGGTTGGAACCAGATGAGCTTAAGGTCCCTTCCAACCCAACCCAGGCTGGGATTCTATGAACGCCTCCAAAGAATGACTCCAATGAGTGGCTTCCCACAGGGCAGTTACCGAGCTCCAGGGTAAATCCCCTTTCTGAGCTCTTTGTACAGGTTCACACCGATTGCCGAGTGGGCACAAAGCACCAAGTGCTGCAGAAAAACACCTTCAAGCCACTGCTGAGACTCTGAATCTCACTGAGCTGCAGAGGGCTGAAGGGAAGCCAGAGCAGGCACTGCATGCACACCGTCCCAGCCACGAGAACCAGCCACAGAAAGGCTCAAACGCTGCTTTCCTCTTTTGTGGGCTTTTAATGGCAATTTTCACAACAGTTTACAAACTCCTTGTTACTCACATTATGGCTCCAGTTAGGAATGAACAGGGAATGGAATTCAGCTCTCAATGGAGGAACTGGTGGTAAAACTGCCCTTTGCTGAGGTCTGGAATCTCCTCCCGCGTTGTGCATTAATACAGGCGGCCAAGCGAGTTCCTCACGCTGAACCTGCCTGACCTGCTGCACCGACCTGCTGCCCTGCCCCAGCCTGCACCTCCCGGCCCTACCGCTTGTCCTCTGTGCCCACGAGGGGACCTAGGAGCTTCGGAGCACTGAGGGGTTGGACTCACAGTGCAGGGCTCCAGCTGGGATGCTCCAGCCCTGGGCATGGCAGTGGTGCAGCCTCTGCGGATGGGATGGTGCTGGATCAGTTCCCACTTGGCTGATGTCTGGAGGCCCACGGTTCCACACAGCTCTCCAGTTCTGCTCCGAGGGCAGCACTAGGGCAGCGAGCACGTTGTGGGCTGGTGCAAAGTGCCCTGGCACAAGGCTATAGATGGTAACTTGTACGTGCGACTACTACCAGGCCCTTACATCAAGGCATTAAAGAAAGCACCCGGAGGATTCTGTTCAAAGGAGAGAAAGATGCAGAGACCCGAGTCCAAAACACAACCAGCACAACAGAGCAAAGCTGGAGAATTCCAGCTGTGCAGCTACGCTAGCCCTCAGCAGAGGAAATAAATCAAAGGGTCCTACAGGCTTGAGTTTTCCCACCTGAGCTGTTTCCATCATCTCAGTAATTCACCTCTCAAAACAAAACTTGCTTTCTAGTAAGGCAGGCTCCATTTGCCTTTTAGTTTCAGTCACTTTGTGCTGATTCAGCTTTGTGCCTTCTTGGAAAGAAAGGTCAGCAGCAGAGCTTCAGTGAATGCAGTACAGCAAATTCAAGCGGCAGCCTGGGCTGCAGGAGGAAGGGCAGGAGGAGCAGGCACTGCACTTAACACCCCTGAGTCCTGCTGGGGGAAAGAAAGTCAGGACTTCCTCTCTGGAAAAGCCCAAGAAGTGTTAAACCTGGCACCCCACAGTGAGCAAAGGCTGTTTCCCAAAGCCTTCCCTCCACAACCATTATCAGATCACCCATTCTCATATAGTTTCTAGTTAAGGTGAGAAAATAGAGCACTTCACAGCAGTCCCTGGAGGAGAGGGAAGAACCAAAGGACTGTGATAAGCACCCAGCTGGGAACTCTGGACAGAAACTGCTCTTTGGGAGCTCCCTTTCCCTCGCCTTCCTCACTCCTCTCAAGGCAGTAACACATCCCACAAAGGTAACTCAACCCAGCTCTCCTGGAGAGCCTGTGGCACGAGAGGCTGCAGCTCCTTTCAAAATGGATTCATCTCATTTATTTATTTCCAAGTCCACTGATCATCATCACGAAAAAAAACAACCCAAAACCAACAACAAAAACCCCCATGGGAAATGCAACTAAAGAGAGAAAGTCCAACCGAGAGCTAAGAACCCAGAGCTAGGAGGAGGTGTGAGCCTGCGCGGCACAGCGGGGTCCTTATGTCAACCGCTGGACGATGACAGCGTTGAGCAGGTTGGCTTCCTTCAGGGTCTGGTTCTCGTCAGTCAGCTCTTTGTTGGGGAAGGTGGTCATGAGGATGAAGCTGGTGGCAGCCATCGCTGGCCGGGCATCTACTATGAAGAGCCGGATGTCCCGGATCCTGTCCAAAGGGATCAGACACATGAGGATGATCCTGTTATTGAGCATCCTAAAACCACGGCGACAGCCTGAATTCAGCTTCCCAGAGTAGGCAACCCCGCAGCTGCTGCATCTGGCTTTCAGCTAACAACAGAGGCCACAGCCAGTAAAGAACTGGGAGAATAATGGAACAAGTTCAGTTATCTGACAGTTTGTAAAGCCCTTAGAAGAGATTCAGGCTTTTTAAGTGACATTAAGGAAAGTGCCTCTGATGCTTCCAGGTGCAGTATCCCTGGCTATAATCCCTCATGATTCAGAAAGCAAATCCAATCCTTCCAACAGTTAACAACCGCCTTAAAACCCCACAATGATTTTACTCCTCTTCACCTATACAGAAGGATCCCCAGAGCTCTCTGCAGCAGGCTGGCCAGGAGTTTAACCTCAGCTCCCTCTGTGCACAGCCTGCAGTGCCATCCCGGCCTTCCCAGTCAGTCACCTGTGATTCACACTGTGGCTGTACCTGTGGTTGTGGTTGAACTTCTGCACCAGGCGCCCGCCGTCAGCGAGCCGGATCTGGATGTTGGTGACAGGCTCTGACTCGTCAATCACGATGGCAGAGCTGGCTTTGGCTTCATTGGCTGCCTGCTGGGCTGGAGAGCTGGTGCCCATCACCTGGGGTGCACTGCTGAGGGCAGGGAGACACAAGGTGAGCTGGTAAAACTCGAATGAGACACTGGGCCCACTGCCAGAGGCACCAACACAACTGGAGATGAGGATGCAGGAGTCGGCTACTGAGCAGGAACTTGTCTTAGAACATCCCCTATATCCCTTTGGAGCACACATCATGGGTCTTCACACCCCCACAGGAAACATGGGCAGTGTAACTTGGAGACACTGCTCCTGTGCACCATCCCACAATGGTTCCAAACTAGGGATTCACCTCCTGGCCTGGAAAGGATGAGCCACCTCACAGGACATGCGAGTAAACCTCATTTCCTCCCTGCGAGGAACACCTCCCACACCACAGGCACTGACAGATGAATCAACCCAACACAACTCTGGCGTGACACTTCTGCATCACGCACAAAGCAAGCTCTTTGCTGGGGAGCTGCTGCCTTCTCACCTGCCCAGCTTCTGTCCTTCTCCAG